CGAGTTTACGCTTAATTGCGCTTGGCGGCGCGACAGCCTATGGGCATGGCAAATACCATCGCCACACCTGAAATGGACACTAAAGTGAGAGAATTACTCGGTACAGAGTGATAAACTCTAATCTGATTATTCTAATTACGAAAGTTTTCCCATAATAGGTTCATTGTCAGAGGGGAATATCAAGGGTAAAAAGTTTCAGTCTAAATTTCGCACTAACATTTTTGTACGAAACGTCACTGATTTCAAAAATTACAGCTCATCCATGGAGAGAAGATGCTGGGTGGCGTAAAGCTTCGGAGGATTTTACCGGTAAACCTTGAATTCTCTGCCTGTCGATACACCTACCTACCTGCCTGCCTGTCTGCCTGCCTGCCTGTGCCTGCCTGCCTGTGCCTACCTGTGCCTGCATGTGCCTGCCTGCCTGCCTGCCTGTGCCTGCCTGTGCCTGCCTGCCTGCCTGCCTTTCGTGAAGCTACGCATGGTATAAATATGTCCCCTACAGATAACAACGTACTTCAATATTACCAATCAGAAACCTCGTAGGAAGTTTTCAACGCTGTCAGAATCTATAACGTCACGGTGTTTGGAGCGAGAATCTCGAAGTTGTGTCTCCACGTGTCCCCCCACATTTTGTTTTGTGCGTTTTCTCACTATGCGTAGTGTCGCGCTAAGAGTAGAAATTTCGGAATTGTCAAAATGTACTTGACTTATACGAAAAAAATTGTTTTTTCCTTACCGCTACATTAACAGTCCATCATGTAGGCACGATTTTGCATGCGTAGAGTAGTTAAGTGAGCCCGCTGCATCTCGTTGGCTCTACCTCTAGGTTTCTATGAAATTATATTTTCATACGAACTGCAGCGGGGCCTCAGAAAACCATGAATGCATTCCACTGGATAAAAACAATAGCTTCTTTCTGCCGTGAACATCTTTTTTTTGCTACTGGCACCGTATTGAGGCATATCAAAACCCGCAGAACGTTCGCAGAAATAACAAGCATTGTCGAACAGGCACTATGGATAGATCAAGTAAACATACGTTTACAATAGACTCTAAACCTGCATGAGTACCTCCTTAAACGCTTTTTCTAAACACAGCAATATATATCCACTTCCGGTTCCTCAAAAGAGGCCCTCAAGTCACCGAGCAACAAGCACATCGCAACTAGAATTATGCACCATCAATTCGCAATGTCTAGTTTTCAGCAGAACGCACTGGAAATCACATTGTCTTAAAAGAAAGGTAAAGGCTGGGTTACATGACCATAACATACGTGCGTACTCTGTAACAGCCAGTGGTCGAGACATTCAACGAAGTATTTTATTTTTGACGCCCACTAAAGTGACAGCGCCCGTTAAATTACCAAGCAGCTGCATCGGTTGTTTGAACGAGATGGTCCACCATACAGCGCAAGCAGGCAGATCGCAACCATCGCACGAAAGGACAGCGTTTTAGTATATGTGAATAAATTACTGGTCTTCTATGTATTTACTCCATTTTTATAAGGAGTGTAACAATCAGGCTATGGTTACGGAGCAGCAGTTATTACAGACTTGAGGCAGCTCAACCAAGTGACAACGCGGCGTATATATTTCATGATTTTTTGGCATATACCTGGATCACTTCAGCACAAGTACAAAAACAGTATCATTCGCGTATGACCAAAGCTTTACCGTAAGTACAGCGCCACTGTAAAAGTGAGGGCCTCTCAGTTTAGCCCATTTCCTGTTATAAGGTATGAAGTGTTAATCCTTGGTGGTAATGTTGGTGGCTGCAATGCAAAAACATCGCCGTCTAAAAAGAAAAACGATTGAAGCAAACAAAAGTTGTGGTTGTAACTAATATTAAGCTTCGGCATTCTCAGTAGCAGTCAAACGTTTTTCATTATAGCTACGCCCGAGGTTCAAAGGACTCGAGAAAAAGCACATACACGTTTGTCACTTGAGATGAAATGCAAGGAATAAAAATAATGGTTGAAGTTGGGCTCGAGCCCGGGCGCACTTATCAAAATGCAGTTTTTTATGCTAAACCCGGTTGCACCATTGAATTGCAGAAATGTGCAATCGGCGTCACACCAAGTGATATGCGCACCTACGGACAGTTCAAGTATACCAAATTATAGTAAAGGGCTCAGCCATAATTGATAACCATCACCATCAGTAAGGGCAACATTGTATTGTAGCTACGAAGGTGCGCTTATTGCCTCTTAGACGACTCGTGGGTACACCACAACTCTAATTGCTGAAGGCATATTTGTCCGTACGAGTGCAACCGGGCTTTCGCGTTGTGCTACAGTCGTGTTACGCATGAAAGATCAGTAAACAGGCGTTGTATGGTGGAGCCTACACTCTTAGAAAAAAGTTAGTGATCAGTTCGAAACGCGTGTAATTACTAAATTCAGGAGCATTTTACTACCTTCGCGGCGTACTTTTACTAGCTACCAGCTAATACAGCTACTAATTTTAGCCGTTACTAACGAGGGAGCCTTTCTTAGTGTTTTTAACTAAGCAACTACTAAGCGACCTACGTTGCCAGATCCGTCGTAGATGCCGCAGTACATTTTGCCGTAATAGTGACATCGCAAGCGAAGTTCAGGCATGTTCTAATTTTATTGACTACCTCGGGATAGAATATTCGTGCTACGCAATAGCACACACTTAAATACATAGAACAAGACATGGTGATGCATGGAAAACAACAATTATGTTATAAATTCGGCGAATGCTAACTAGTATGCGGTGTGTGGTGACAAAGCAGGGGTATATAATCTACTGCTGCCACAGTAGCATTCTGCTATGTCGAAGTCTTAAAGATATTCTTGTGCATGCATTTGCATGGGTGTTTTCGTGATCCGCTCATATGATGTATGAGTTCTAATATTCATATCAGCATATAATCATGAGTAAGAGAATTATGTTCATATGAGTCACATGAGCATATAATATGCTCAAATGAGTCCATATCAGCATGTTCGCCGATGATCAATACATAGGTGATTGTGACTGGATCATACGATGATGTCGTCAATTCTCTATAAGTATGTTGCTTTGATGCGCACTTACTCCTGTATAGTTGCATGGCGTAATTAAGAACCATTATTAATTTAGGAGGGCCATGCCCATTTGTTTTTTATCTAACACTTTTTCAATAAATCATATCGATATGGCTGTGCACACGTATATTTACCAAAATTGGTGTAAACCTTTATATGTGGGGGTTGCTAACAATTTAGTAATAAACTAACCCCTCGAGTCAGCACTATTCACTTGTAACTAGGTAGTAATTTTATATCCCGACGACGCAGTGCTTTTACCAAGCCTGTTATTATTTGGGCTAGCGTTGGTTACAAGCCCAAAAGCTAGTAAAGGTAACCGTTTCACAAGAGTTACTTTTACTAGCTGCATTTACTAGCTTGTTAGTTGATTTTGTGACAAGTAACGGGATAGTATTAGTTATTGAATATACCAACGGTCCGTTTCGTGAAGTGGACTTTTTTTTTCTGAAGAAGACGGGTTCACTTGTCAAAACGTAGGCTAGAACACACAAACTTTGTTCACGCTTTTCTTTTTTCTTATCCCAAACTTTCATCGTCCTCTTCCTGCAGTTCCTAAAGAAGCACTGACATCAAAACTCAAGATTCATATGTGCCCATCATTCGATCACTTGGTATGCATAGGTCTTCTTGGCGAAATTTGAATGGCCTCCATCGCGTCGAAGTTATTTTATTGTGACGTCAAGCAGCGTAGTAAAGCTAATGAGAAAAAACAAAATATAGACTGCCCTGTGACATCGAAACTACTGCTACGTGTTCGGTGTGATACATTTCACAAATACCATCCTGAGTGGCGATACGCTTGTAACGATGACGTAGGCGATCTCTGAGAGTGTTTGGAGTCGACTCCCAGCCAGGCTATTACTAGTGGCTCTCCTTGTTGTGTTGAAGTGTGGTTGCGACTAATCATGTCACATCGACTGATTTGCGTTGTGCTCCACTGCATGTGAGTACGATCATTCAGAGCAACAACACTTGCCAAAATGTCGAGGAACCACTGCGTAGTGAGAACCTGCGCGTTGAGGCGCGGAAAAAGCGGAATGTGCGTGGCGTTCCATGTCTTACCAAGCCACGAACCTCAACGCAGCCTGCGGGTTGACTTTGTACGCGCCGTTGAACAGAGGGACTTGATGCCTGTGAAAAACAGCCGCATTTGCTCACTTCACGTTGCGGCGAGCTGCTCCAGGGTAAATCCTCTGTTTGCGAAGCAGTTGGATTTCACTGGCAGTACGAGGTCTCTTCTCGAAGCCGGAGTTATTCCTAGCGTGTGCCCCTGCTGCAGCTGAAAGCAGCGATTCACTCGCCAAACGTCCTCGACATGAGGTGTGTAGTTGGTGTTCCTGAGCTCCGACAGTACGGCCGGTGCTGATAAATATAATGTTTAACGCGGAGAACGTCAAGCAAGGATGGTTGCGAATCGTGGCGATAGCGAATTCTAGGTCGCTGTCATCATCACTTGCCGATGTCGACCGCGACGACGGCGAGGACGACCACGTTGGCGACAGAGCCTTGTCTACGCCTTCAGAAACACAACTTGACTGAGCGTACGTGCGCTCCTAGCAGACAAAACGCCAGCGTGACGTCACCATTTTTTGTGAAAGCAGCATCAGCTGTGCAGCAGCCTCGACGTGGCCGCGAGGTAGCGCTTCCAGCACTACAATTTGGCGGGCTTTCCACCCATTTTGAACCGCGTTCGATAGCGAATATATTAATCAATATTACAGAGACTCATTCGTCACTCAGATGTGTTTTAGGTCGCAAATCGCTACTAGGGGGTTGATAGCTACTCGTTACGCAAAAATTTTGACATGAGTCAATTTTATGTCAGTGCTTCTTTAAGAGTGTTACACAAATAACACCAACCAAATTTCTTGTAGATAAATCACCCAAGATGTCAAGTGCAAGCAACGGCGTCATTTGAAAATGGTCGCCTGGTAGCAAAGCTCACCTCCAGAGTTGCTCGTACCGCTAGTGCCGCACGCAGGACACTGTGTGTGTCGTATGCTGCGTCCGGTTCGAGAAGTGCATGCTCGCGGTGGAGGCAAGCCTTGTTGCGCAGGTAGTCGTCCGACTTCTGGCGCCAGACGCCCTGGCCGAGTACCCCGTTGCTCATAGCATGGAGTGTCCCCAGGGTGGCGTAGTTGATGAAAGGCCCCGCTCCCTGGTAGAAAATGGGCTCTAACACCACCAGTGGTGAGATGCAGCTCTTTCGGGGGTCCGCTACACTCTCTAGGAGCCCAGTTTGGCCGGTGAGTGGGCTTGAAAAGACAGAAAGGCACATGTTTATAAATACCACATACTAAACTCAGGTGAAAAAAAAAATTGCCGCCAACTTCTCTGAAGGAATCATGAGGAAACGAAAATGCATTTCTTGGGCCCAGAAGTACACGGCGTTGCAATTTTAAAGCGTAAATTAATCTTCAGACAAGAATTTGTACTGTCGGAAGTTGGACGAGTTGGTAACAGTTCACAACTACATATGAAACAGCGCACGACGGCTGGCCCAAAAGAAGCTGAGAGAGCAGCGGTGTCCCTATCGCTCTTTTTGTGCCTGTCGTCGTGCGCTGCATCTTATGTAATCAAAAATTTGTACGATGACCCTTTATTTACACATTCATCAGCCGCCGAATGGTTGAAAGTGAGGCGCGCGCTTCCCTCCCTTTATATAGGCATCGAAAACATAGCATGGCGCCACCTATGTCATGACGTCACTCATAGAAAGCCTGGATATGCCATCTGATGACACCCCGTATATGCTGCGCTTTGGCTAGCGCACGTTTTTGTCGTATACACCTAGCGTGTTCCCGCTTGTCATAAAGCTGTTTTTCGTTTCTCTTTTAAGACAGGGTATGACATGAAGAAGCTTGGAGTAACACAGCTAGTGGTTACGTATTCTGAAAGTCGCGAGCCCGGACACACGAAGAAAGTAACCTGTTGTTGTGGTGCGCTCACTACCTTTTTGGGTGCGTGTTTGCACGCCATGACTTTCAGAATGAAAGAACTAATAATTCCGACAAACCCTACCGTGCACGAGCCCTTAAAAGGGGCCGTTACAACGCAGTTCCTCAGGACCTGAATAAAGTTCTTTGTCTGTCTGTCTGTGTCCCCCAGTGGAACTCATTTGTAGCACGCTACACTCCCTGCGCCGCAGGTGCCATAGCGAACGATGCTAGTGATATCACGAAAGCTAAGCTGCTAACTAATGTTATGAAATATTTTCCCCACGAGAATTTTCAGATTTTTCATAAATCGAGCCGAAGAATAGCAATAACAGCCGTGCATGCGATCCAAATGCGCAGCTGTCAACGAACACCTGCGAATGGTGAGCGGGGAGAATTGACAAACATGCTTAAAAACGCTCTTGGGACCTGCAGGGCCAATTCGCTTGCCCTCCACTGCTCTTTTTAGATGTGCTCTAATAAGATTGACGGTCATCGGCGTTTCACGTTTTTATTTTAATGGTTCATCTACTGTTCGTCTTGACTTACACTTGTCTACAACATATCAATCTTAGTTTTCAGCGCCTTTTATGAGGTTGTCAATGTGACAAAATGTTTGTTTACTAAGGACCCCACTGTGAAAGTTATCTTAAACTTGGGAGGTATTTTTTTACTTATTTTGTTAACTTAAAGTGAGCCTGTCGCTTTCAGTCATCAGTAAATAATCGACAAACGCACGCGATGAGTTGCGGGGAGCCTTCGTGAGCATACGTCAGCTCGGCGGTTACTGGACTAGACCTGTGTGCTGCTACCGTAATTGCCAGCGGCCATGCGCCGGTGTTTCAACCTTCGGCAGCGGCGTGTCAACGGCGCGGGGTCTATCGGATCGGCGGTGGCACGGCGTGAGCAAAGAGGAGGGGGGGGGGGGGGGTGTACAGTCATGATTGAAAATTTGGTGGGAATAGCAATTTTTTTCTTGAATTTTGAAAAAAATCTGTTTCTCCAATAGGGTGATGTAAATGAAGTGACGGCAGCATCTATTATTAGTACTTATTTACAAATACTGTCTTTCAGTTTTCGAGACCTAGCAGGTGTAAATACAAATGTTCAGCACCTTAGAAAAATCAACCTAACGAATTTTATGTTAAAATGTATTTACGTGTTAAATGGTTATCTCCTACTAACACTCAAGGAAAATGTTCATGACAGCTGCATCTTGCTGGTAATTACGTATGGAGCAGAAAGCTTGAAATATATGAAGTATGTTGTGACTAAACTGAGGACGACGCTTTGATCGATGGAAAGAAAAATGATAGGTGCAACCTTAAGAGAAAATAAGAGAGCAGAGTAAATCAGAGAACAATCCGGGGTTAAGGATATTATAGTTGAAAGCAAGAACAAGACATGAACATGAGCCGGGCATGTAGCACGTCGGCAGGATAACCGCAGGTAACTAAGGGCAGCTTACAAGATCCTAGAGAAGGCAAATGCACGAAGGGGAGACATGAAGTAATTTGGTTCGTTGAGTTAAAAAAAATTGACGGCAAATCCTCGAGGTGAATGATGATGAAATTGGGCAAAGCTCCTTGAAGTAATACCGTGAAATTTTCTTCTGCTAATTCGCTTGGCGATATGCGCACTTCCTCGCCGCTTCCCATCAACAAACGTTTTCAAGATCTCCTTTCGTCCAAGATCTGCTTGCCACGTGCTGCCTCGGCCTCTCGTTCCCGTACGGAAGGATCTTGCCGACGCTGACGTGCCACTGCAGCTTCTTGTTCACGTACGGCAGGATCTTGCCGACGCTGTCTTGTTGATGTGGCTTCTTGTTCCCGTACAGTCGGATCTTGGCAGCGACGTCGCGCAGCGTCCCGGCGCGCTTCCGCCTCGCGTGCTCTCACTTCAGGGTCCTGTCTGCGAGCGCGCGCCACCGCTGCCCTGCACGCCCGCCTTTCGGCATCCTTATCCATACGAGCACACACCGACGGCAACGAGCATCGGCAACTACAGACGTGTATCGATATGGTTTTGATTATAAAACAATTTCTTTAGAAAACACTTGATGTCTTTCCTTAAGCAGCTGGCGTCTTCTTTTTGTTTTGCTTTAGAAACATCTGGCGTCTTTTCGTTTTGCTTTTAGAAAACATCTGGCGTCTTTCCTTCGTTCATTTTATCAATCAACGGCATTCTGCAAACATTTTTTATTGTTTATTCACGCACAGAAGAACTCTCACCAGGCACTACATTGTAGGTAAACAATGGCTGCTACTGCGAATGACAGACAGCAGAAGTCGACTTTTAACACTTCTACTTCTACTGACGTTTCCTACTGGAACATGCCAATGGCTGTTAATGGGGAATGAGAGACAGAAGAATTCGGCTTTTAGTTAACGCGCACGCTGCGAAATTTTTTATTGTTCAACAACGCACAGGAGAAATCTCCCACCAGCACCACCTTGGAGGTCAAAGCGTAAGCCTGGTTACACACTACGACTACGATTACAACTATGACTACGAGGGACGAACGGGTGCCGCAATAAGGAGCTTCGCCCCTAAATGTTCGAAGGTATTTGCAACTTTCACAGATGTTGGCGCCGCCATGCGGCCGCCGTCGTAACTGTCGTTTGGGAGATGCTCGCGCAGCCAGCCGTTCAGTCGGTCTCACCAGGTGTTATGTAGCATCACTTACGCGGTTCAGTTGTGGTTTATATTTTGTTGCTGGCAATTTTTTCTACGAAGATTCTTAATTCGGTAGTCAACTACCGAAGTCTGACGGTACTGCGAGTTGCAGTAGCAATGGTTTACTCTTTATTATTTGCTTACTGTGAGCTACAGGTAGAATAATCACGAAATGTGCTAGGTGCAGCTGTGCACAGGCCGCGCAGTCAAAGACAAGGTTTCCTTCTTTTCACGAGCAGTAATCCTGCAAGAGAGGGAGAGACAAAAGATACGTTAATAATCACACCAGTTCATTCGAAGAATAAGCACGCCCAGGGTTGCCTTCGGGTGGGCGGGAAGACTCGTCGAAGTTCCTCACGTCTTTATTATATCACTGTTTGTGGGTGACATTCTTAGGTCTCCAGGGTCCCCCCTCCTTCTGCACCCACTTGTGCGCACGTGTGTGAGTAGATACGGAGAAGCTGTTCTTACAAATATATTTTTTTCATCAATGTGTTTTTATGTAGACTGTATGGCTTTAAATTTATTCCACAATCATCGCATATTTTCACTTGCTTATTACCTGATTTTTATTGCTGTGCACACACGCGAATCATATTGTGGGATGGCTGACAGTGATTAGTGAAGCAGCCTATCCGCTGATTTTTTCGTTGTTGTCCTTCAGCTGGGAGACTATATTTGATTGAAATAAATGTTTCATTTGAAATAATATATCTGTGGTTACGTAATCAGCTTCTAAGCATGCTTGAAATTCTGGCACGTGGTTTAGTACCTCTTTTATCGCGCTTCATCATGTAAATACAAGCAAGTTGCCTTTGTTTAGAAGTGCGTTAACGCATCGTTTCTCCCGTGCAAAGCGACAACAGGTTCGAACACCGACGTCATGACTTACTGTTTGCTAGATCATTTGAGTGGATGGTTGCACTTTTCAGAGCACCACTGATTATTTCGTAGTCTTCGTAGTCGCGCACCAAAGCTAAAATACGTGAGACAATAAGGAAGGCTGCCACATTTGCTTCCGTGCGAGATGCCTCGGACGCACTAAGCATCGAAAAAGCACAGCCATCCGCTCGTATAACCTATAAGGTAAAAGTGAACGACTGTACCCGTAAAAACAGGTGTGGGTGAAAAAAAAGTAACTACGATTTCATAGAAGCCGGTCACACACCTAAGGTCAGCGAGAATAACCCGTCGAAGAAAGATACACCCCTCCCTCCTTACTAAAGTAAATAAGTCAGTGCAGTACATGAACTCACCTTCATCGTTTCGTTGGTTCTGAATTTGAACCATGGCTCGTGCAAGTATTTCGATGGTCGGCCAGTCAGCACGCACAATACTTAGATAGTGTTCACAAAGCTGTACGTTCATTCCTTCGCACCTCGGGTAACGATGTGACCGACGTTCAAAACTTCTTTTCCTTCAGTATTACACCGCACACGTGTTTCTCAACACCCAGTGTTATACAAACTAGACACAATGACCTTCTAAAGCAAAGCCTCTACAGCATGGTGGCTGCAACCGAAAATACTAAGCAGTTTGAAGTGACGGGCAACCCACCGGCGGCCGCCAGCGCGCCGGCTGCATGATCCCCCAAACGACAGCCATGTTGGACTTACACTAGCGCCCTCTTTAGGCGGTGAAAGGTGCGAATAACGTGGCAGCAGAA